ACATTTTCTGTTAACACATCATTCAAAAACTCTAATCCGTTGATACATAGAGGAAGTAGAAAAAGGGGTACCTGCCAAAGAACTTGAAACAAAGAAAACAACATTGTACTAATGGCCAAACTTCTCGAAGCAGAAGTCTACAAAATGAACAAAAGAACGACATTATGAGCCTATACCATGCAAAAGTACAGTCACAAAACTAGATAGTAATGCATACACAAGAATAGATCATGAAATAATACAATCCCATGTGCATCAGGAGGATTGAGGTAGAGAGTAACAACATACCACCTTTTTAACTTCATCCAAGGACTGAAATCTTGCAGCAACTATAATTCAGGAGAACAATGAAAAGATTAATAGGCAAAGAGCAAAAGAAAAAACCGAAGGGTACCTTAGGAGTTGAACTTTCTTCAATATAACTAAATGAATTTTAAACCAGGGCCCTATTCCCTCCCAAATAAAAGTTCAGTCTTGGCCAGATACATACTGCTTTCAAACCACATTATTTTACCATTATAACATTATAGCCAATCAAAGTCAACACTAAATATGTGTAAAATATATTACTGTAATTCTTCTGTTCCCATGTATGTCTGATATAAAGACCTCATAGAAGCTCGTGCATGAAGTTCTACATGGAATTGGGCAAAGGAAGTTGAATTGCAAGGTCAAATTCTATTTCTAGCATTCGGGAAATCCATTTTACAAGGAATTGTAAAAGCATTGGTCATTAATTTTACGATTTTAATTTCCTGATGTCGGAGAAGCTCTAAGATCTCACGTGAAACCTTCAATTGCCTGTGAAGAGGTCAAACTAAGGGTCTGTTTTAAAGCCAAGTTTCAGTGCGATATTATGCTTCCTGAAACTTGTTATAGCATTCCCAGTCACTACATAAAAGAGGTACACTTCAACAGAACAAAGAACAATAAGCTGTAGAAGCACGAATACTGAGGACAATGATGAGAGGTTACAATAGCACATAGAAGAAAAAAAGCTGAACCAAGAAACCCACCTTCTCCTTCCTAGTTTCTCATACCTGTTAAAGTATTTTTATTTAAAATATTACTTCCTTATTTCTCCCTACGCGAATTCCTCTACAGCACGCCTTTTGCGTTCCTTCCAAATTGTAAAATATTCAAATCATCTTTTCATAAATGTATTTTTTGGTATTTGTTACATCAAAAAAGCAGAAACAACAAACTTACACTGAGATGCACATGCAACATATGAAGCCTCAGATATTAAAAATCCAATAAGGATCAGTACAAAGAGGAAATGATTCTTTTGACCTGCACATGGACATCACTTCTGGTTACAATTATCTATGCAAATAAAACTCAATGTATGCTGATTGCAATAGTTTTATCACCCAGACAATGTATCAGATGACCCAGGAAAGTTGTTATTACCTATACAGTTTCCAAAAGCTGGACAATGGTGATCAAAACCCTTCACATATGCATCACAGTGCCTGCAATATCTACCCCTCCGCACAATCAAACCCTGCTGTTGAGCATGAAAGAAAGTTTGAGTACAATTGAGAAATATCTGCAGCTAATATTGCAAAGCCTTATTAAAAAATAATAGTCAAAAAACACTCACTTTATTTTTATAAAGGATGGAGCAAAAATAGATGAATTTCAACGACTGTTCCAATATTATTTGCCTTAACACACGTTTCTTGGGGAGGATTATGAACCTGATGTGTATTTTAAAAGTACTTATTACAAATTTGCTAGAAGTTGCTCGATACTATACTTAGCCAGAAATTAAAACCCATCGAGACCAGAGAAACCCCCTAATAAATAATCAAGCAACATATGTTAGTCAATTACCAAACACTACCAAGGCATCAGAACGACCTACAACTTTTGGATATGACTCTTGTTGGACCACCAAGTTGGCTGAACTTCAAGACACCGAAGCCTAGATTGAGTAATAATTCTGAATTTAATGCGTGCAAATGCTAAATGACTTGTTTATCTTCAATTTAAGAGAATAAAAAACTGTAAAAATCTTACCTCTTCAGCATGAGATTCTTGTTGCGTGGGATAAGTTGTAGGGTCTAATTCCTATGAAAGAAGACTAGATCAATATACATAATGTGCTAGTCCAATAAAAGAACTTTATCAACTAGTGCAACCTCTCTGTGGGCTTCAACTTCACTGCAAGAAATTTCGTGATAGGAAGAATCATGTCTAACAAAACCGGGGTCACTTGACATAATACTGCAACCAAGCACGTCTTTTTCAGTATAATGCATGAATTATGGATAGAATTCAATGTCCATGAAGTTAAAGTTATATTCTTCCCAATTCATCATATACATGTATCCCTCGTATAAGCACACAAAAAACTGACCGATATAAACCAACTATCAGCATGCCAATCTCTATGTTGAAGACAGTGTCCACCACAAATGAAGTGACTGCAACAAAAGGTAAACATCTGAATTTATTTATCTTACAAAAGACAGGATCTTGAATTAAAAGTACGGCCGTGAAAGGGAAAAAAAACGTTTAATCAATCTTCCTACTGTTGCTGAGTTATCTCAAGAAATTGAAGGGATTTTCATCAACATTTCTACATGCGGGTATTATACAGATAGTCTTCTTCAATATTTATACAAGATTAATTTCTTTTTTCTTTTTCATCTCGATCCTCTTTACCGATCTCCAACAGATTAATGTAATATCCCTTAATTTGGAATTTACTGATTCAATCAGCTCTCTCATTGGGAAATCATCCTCAAATCAGTATCCACGCTTAATCAGCTTTTGACTGACAATATCAAGAAATCATGAGACTAGAAAATAAAAGGTTGTTCTTCAATTCGAACATTGAAGAAAGGTACCTTGTCGAATCACATAAACATGAACAACCCATATAAAGAGTATGCTAAAGAAAACGAAAGCCGGGGCAGATGCTTTCACACCCACAAGCCTCTTGCAGCATCTCCCCAAACCCACAACAATTACAATCAACAGAGCTGGAATAAGTTCAAACAGAAAAAAGAAATGGAAACAATTAAGTACAAAGGAAGTAATTATACACAAAAATTAGTGATTATACAACCATGTAAAGAGAAAGAGAAGCAGATTCAGACCTGTGAGAGGAAGGAGGGTGATGAAGGAAGAGGTGGGGAGGAAAAAAGAAAGCATAAACAAAGTGAATTGAATGAAGAAAACAGATATAAGTGAGGCCAAACAACTAATAATCAAAGACTGCATTTTTGATAAGTGGGTTGGAGTGTGGGAGGAAAAATGGGTGGGAAAAAGGGCATACGGGAAGGGGAAGGGGAAGGGGAAATCGGGGAGAGAGGAAAATTGACTGGAAAATATTCATATTTAAAATTACGGCGAGTTGTGCATTATTTGAAATATTTAATTAATGCCGTGAAAATAATATTTGATATCAATTTGTTAAGATGATTTAACGAGTCTTAAACGAATTAAAATAAAATAAAATTTAGGATTGAAATTTTAAAGAAAATTGTATTCTCAAAACTCATGATTCAAATTTTTTGTGATGATCAAATATTATAAAAGAGCAACTTTTTTTAATACGACATTTCGTACATAAAAATTAATTACTAATATATGAGTTTAAACACCTATTAAAATCTCTAGATACTTGAATATAAATAAATTTATTTATGATAACCATAGATTCATGTAAATCAAGATTCATCAAGTCAAGATTCATTGAATCTAGATTAATGTTAACTGTTGAGAATTAATAACACGGAATTCATGCATGGCATGTATTTTCTAGTATTTATTGTATATTAAAAAATGAGAATAAGGTATTATTGAAATAATTGAATTGTGGTAGGACTAAAATCGTTTGAAAAATTACTCTCATTTGATGTAATATTTAATATATTATAGTGGTTAAAATCGTGAAAACAGATATTTCTCACTTAACGCAATATTTAATATATTATAAACATGTAAGAAAGGCTGAAGACGAGCTCATTATTTAGGGTAAAAAGTTCGGGATTATTAGTAAAACTTTCTCATGACTAAAATCCAAACTTTAATTAGAATTGAAAATTGATAACTCATAGAACAAAACGGGAGGAAAACATCTAAGCCTCCACTAACTATTACTTTATTATTCACACATTTTATGAAATTCATTATTATTATTCTTCTTTAAAAATAATTTATAAATTTTAACAAACGAAGACTAAACTTAGTATTGTGTTAGGCTACCATTTTAAATCTCAAAATGAAAAATGGGAACGAAAAATCCTCCATCAATTGAAGTGTAATATACTTAAGTTAGTTAACGAACATTTTTAAATCCGTGTTTGGCCAATGTTTATTAATTATTTCTAAAATATCAAATTATTTTTTATTCAAATGTTTTGTGCGGGCGTAAAAGTTCAATTATTAATATATCATTCATTATTATCTATTTATAATTTAAATCGTTTATAGGTGCCGCTTTTTTCTAAAAATCATTTTGTGGGTTTTTGCCTTTTTGGGTTATTTTTAAACAACAAAAGGGCTAATAAAAAGTGCTTCAGAAGGGTTAATTGAAATTAGAAAAAGTTTATGAGCTTGTTTGGTATGGATTTTGATTTTTTTATAGTAAATCAATTTTTATTTTTAATCACACATTTTTCAATAAAATAATATTTTTCATCACATCAATAATATTTTCTTCTTTTTCAACTATACATTTCCTATCATATCACTATTTAAAAATCAATTATTCCTCCAAAAATTCCTACCAAAGAGGCTTGAGAGTGCGAGCAATCATTCTCAAAGTCAACAAAAATATCTTTTATCTACGAACGCGTGTCGACACAAATTTGGAACCATAAAAAATACCAGTTATTGAAAAGTCGTTCATAACTTACTCCAGTCAGTTTCAAGGTAATTCATCGGAGAAGAAAAGTCTTCCACTCTAAAAAATAAAGAAAATTAAATGTAACGAGAAAAATAATTTTCAATTTATTCTGAATTCTCCGGCAGGTTTTCAGTTAATGGAGGTTTTGGGCCCTCATCCTGCACCATTAAAAGTTTTTGCTTCTGGGTTTTCTCCGCCGTCGAATTTCCGACAAGGGTTTGAGAGGTCAAGTCATGAGGTGGATTCTCGGATGCTGGATATTACCGTTTCTCCTGCACCAGATAACGATTATATTACTGGGTTCTCACCGCCGGCGAGTTTCCGACTAGGGTTAGATCGATCGAGTCATCCGGTGGATTCTCAGCTGCCGGAAATTGCGGAAGAAAGCGGCTGTGCAGTACACGTGGCAGTCGGAAAATCTGTGAAGAAGACCGTTGCTTTGCTTGACTGGACTTTTAGGACGTTTGGGAGCAAAGAAATCTGCATTCTTCATGTTCATCGACCTTCCCCTCTAATTCCCACTCTCTGTGAGCTTCTTCTTCTTCTCTCTCTCTCTCTCTCTATATATATATATATATAAAGTGGATCCTCCAGTAATTAGTAATCTGAATAAGCAGAAAGTCGCCATTAATTATCATTTAACTTTTAATTAACTAATCTCGGCGTCGACTGGTGGTGGGGAAATCAGGGAGCGGAACACTACACTCGTTTAGCTGTGCCGACGGAGAAAAGCAGTTAAAAAAGAGGCTTTCAGTCACGAACCAACATTCTGTTAATTTACTAGAACTGGCTTGAAAAAATGCTTTTTTTTTTTGGTTCTATATCACTATCGTTATTTTGTCATTATGATTATGATTTGATTTGGTTATGATGTTGCTTGAATATGTTATGTAGTGGGAAAACTGCCGGCAAGTCAAGCAAATCCTGAAATGGTTGCTGCATTTAGAAATGAGGAGAAAGAGGAGACTACAAAGCTGCTATGTAATTACCTGATTATATGCAGCAAATCAAAGGTATAATTTGTCCCAAATCTTTTTTTCCGTCTAGTTATGCATTGTGTAGCCTATATAAGAATATATAGAAGGTCGAGTTCAAAATTATTACGCTGCTATTTAGAGGCGTAAGATTGCTGAGATTTGTTCTGATCATAAAGCTTCCGTTTTTGAGCAATAACATATTCTGTCAAGTTGATGACAATGGTTTACAAAATTGTAGAGCATCGATTTTGCATTCGAAGTAATAAATGTTTCCCTTTTGTAAACAATTGTTAAGTGAAGTCACCTGAGGTAATGTAACAAATGTGCAGGTTAAGGCGAGGGTGATTACAACTGAAGCTGACGAAGTTCAAAAGGGGATTGTAGATTTAGTGAATACACATAGCATTAAGAAACTTGTTATTGGAGCTATCCCAGAGTACGTGTTCATTTTATTCTTCAGTTGGACTCTCTCTACTTGCTAACAAACACCACACTGCATTATGTAATCTGGAAACTTGTTTGCTTTAAGTTTCATAATACCTTATTTATGATTTTTGTATGTTTTGAAAACTTATTAAGGTGTAGTAGTACAAGCTCCAATTGATTTGATTGTGTGTATCTTTATAATAATGATGAAGAACATTAGAACTTTTTTCTGTTAGTGTTCAGCCCTAACTATTTCCATAGTTTCATGAAAGGGAAAAAGAGTTCGTGCAAAGCAAGCCGTGCTGCAAGAGACATTCCTTCTTATTGTGAGATAAGATTCGTCAACAAAGGAAAGCTAGTCTGGACAAGACAAACCTCTGAAAGCACGAGCTTTGTACCAATCTGTCCTGCCTATGCGCAAAACTTAAGATTTCAGTCTTTACATATTGACAAGAATAAGGTTGTTTTCCATCCAGAATCTTTGTTCTACCTCTGCTAGAAATTACTCTGATCTGGGATAAAAAATTGGGTACAGGCTGAAACTTCTTCACTATGCGTTGAAAGCTCACGTGATCCATTCCGTTGTCAAGATGTATCTACTTCAACAAGCTTTAGCTCGGGTTCTGACTACACTTCAGCTGCTGAATCAAGAGTGTCCTCCGTCTTTAGTACAAAAGCCGAGGAAGAGAGCTTATATAGTCTACTGACTGAATTAGAAATTAAAGCTGAAGAATCGAAAGATGAAGCATTTCTGGAGCTTTCAAAGCACAAAAAATTGGAAACTAATGTCATGGATGCCGTCAATAAGGTGAAGTTCTAATCGGTTGCACATCATTTTCCTGAAGTTCTGATAACGTACAAGGTCAATTAAATTTTAATATAATAACATCTTACTATGGCTTCTTAGGTCAAAGCTTTGGAAATTGCTTATTCTGAGGAAGTCAAACTTCGAGAAGAAGCTCAGGATGCAATGAGAGCTACAATACTGGAACAAGATGAGCTAGTGGAGGAGACAGAGAAAATAACTTATGAGCTACATAAAACCATGCGGAATATAGCCCTCCTGGACAGTCGTGTACAGGAAGCAAACCGTCGACGTGAAGAACTTGCTGGAGAACTGGAGCTTATTCAAGCTTCAGTTGCAACTCTGCGAAAGGAAAAGCAAAAACTTCAAAGGCAGAAGAACGAAGCCACACGGTGGCTCGATAGATGGAGAAGTCATGGACGATATGGAGATGCAGACCCCGACAAACCTTTTTGGCTTAAAGGAGATACTTCTGTATTGGCTGTATTCTCCTTGTCAGATGTGCATGCTGCTACCTGCAATTTCTCCGAGAGTTTTAGGATCGGGCAGGGAGGGTATGGTACTGTGTACAAGGGGGAAATGTTGGACAGGACAGTTGCAATAAAGAATCTACATCCTTATGCAATGCAAGGGCAAACGGAGGTCTACAAAGAGGTAAACCCAAGCTCTTGTTTCTTAATGTCAAATGTGATCATTAAGATGGATTTTTTTTTTTTTACTTGTGATGAAAATGAAGGTTCAAGTTCTTGGCAAACTGCGACATCCTCATGTCGTGGGTTTAATTGGAGTTTGTCCAGAAGCCTGGTCTCTTGTATATGAGTACTTGCCAGGTGGTAACCTACAGACTCGCCTTTTCCACTACAGTAGCATTGGCCCCCTAAACTGGAAGAATCGAGCAAGAATCGTAGCTAATGTTGCAAGTGGACTTTTGTTCTTGCACTCTTCCAAACCGGAAAAGCTTGTACATGGTAATTTGAAGCTGGAAAATATCCTCCTTGATTCAGAGAACAGCTGCAGAATAAGTGACTATGGGATTCGTATGCTCATAACAAACAAAACCATCCGGTGCCCAAGTTTTCGTCATTGTGCTGAATCAAATGGTGCTTTCGCATATCAAGATCCTGAGTTTCATAGAACAGGAACCCTAACACCTAAGTCTGACATCTACTCATTTGGATTAATCATACTTCAGCTACTCACAGGACGAACTACAACAGGTTTAGTGAGTGAAGTTCGCAGGGCTGTATCCAGTGGGAAAGTAGCATCCATATTAGATTTATCTGCCGGCGAATGGTCATCATATGTGGCTAGGAGATTGGTGGACTTGGGATTGCAATGCTGTGAATCAAACAGTCGGGATAGACCTGAACTGAGCCCAACTCTTGTTAGGGAACTGGAGCGCCTTCCTGTATTAGAAGAGCAAGAAGTACCATTATTTTTCTTATGCCCGATACTTCAAGTAAGTAGTGCTTTTATGCAGACTATTAGTATATGGTGTGGAACAGTTTTGCTATAGGTACACTGATTGACACTTTGGTTGACATTGTATAAGGTGGCTAACATTTTTGCACTTGATTTTAACTACACGTCAAATAATCAATGGCGCTGGTAGATTTTGACGACACACAATGTCAACAATGATGTTATCAAGGAATGTACAAATAGCATAATTCATGAAAATATCGTTTCATCAAATTTTATTAAGATGAAACGCGGTTTCTTTCAGGAAATAATGCATGACCCTCAGGTGGCAGCTGATGGGTTCACCTATGAGGGAGAGGCATTGCGTGGTTGGTTGGAAAATGGCCACGAGACTTCTCCAATGACGAACTTGAAACTGAGCCACTTAAATCTCACTCCCAACCATGCATTGCAAATCGCCATTCAAGATTGGCTCTGTAAATGATGAAGTGAGTGGATCCCCGCCCTTGTTTCTTAACATGTATAGTCGTCTACTTAATTTACATTCAGATTCGTGTTTGGCATTGTATTACTAATTTAAATGTAGTGTAGAACAATTACAAGGGAGCCTTCTGCTTTCACTGCTTGTAAATTTGATTTTTTCCAGAATGATAATTGAGATTGTCCTCTGTGTTCTGGTGGATCTGCATGATTTTTGCAAGGAACCAACCATTGCGATTGGGGACTTGAAAACTTTTAACATTACTAGGTGCAAGCAACGTGCAATGCACGTTTGCTTAGTTTATATTTAATATTTTTGTTTAATAATTAATTTATTATTAATAAAGATGTAATTTTTTTTGGTTAATTAAGGGCGTGTCTGGGCGCGCTGCAAGGAGGAAGGAAAATTGATTCTGTTACC